CCAGGCTGGCCTTGAACTCACAGAGATCTGCCTGCCTGTGCCTCCCGAGAGGAGTGCTGGGATTAAAGGCTTGCGCCACCATGCCCGGCAAGAATAGTTTTTAAGATAATGAATTTATGCTGTTACTTGTATTAAAAAATGTTAAAGGGCTAGAGAGATGACTTGGCAAGAGCACTGGCTGCTCTTGCAAAAGACTTGGGTTCAGTTCCTGGCACTCACATGGTGGCTAACAACTGTCTGTAACTCCAGTTCCAGGGGACATAATGCCCTCTTCTGACCTCTGAGGGCATTGCATGACATGGGTGTGCTTACATACATGCAGGCAAAACATTCATACACATAAAATAAAAATAAATTTAAAAAAATTTAACTGCTAAAAAATTGAGGTAGGGACAGAAATGAGGCAAAATTATGGCACATTTGTTAGCCATTGATGGCAAACTAGGATCATTCTGGGATAAAGGCCTCAGAGTTGCTTTTGGTACACAGTAGTCGTGCTAGCACATTCAGTCCAGCCTCTGGGCTGTGCCACAGATGGTCCCTTCTTCCCATCTTTGCTCTTCTTAGGCTTTCATGGGACAAAAAATTCAAGAGGTCTCGAATAACTTAGACTAGTGATTGGGTTATTCTGTTCCAGTATACTTGAAGAATGTCATCACCAGTGGTCAAACAGTGTACATGGACAGACACATCAGATCTTAGCCTTTGAGTCTTTCTTCCATAAATAGTGTGGTCTTTTCCTTTTCTCAAAACTTTGGTCTGCAGTTTCTCTTCCCTTGCTCCTTGCTCAGGGAGCTCTGCTGGTATAGGGTAGGAAATGTGTTTTTTCCTAGGAACAAGGATGGGCTGCTTCTGCCTAGAGGCCTGGCCTGGATTTGATTCTCTCCCACTCTCTTTTTTCCTGGCTTTTGGGCTCTCATCTCTGTTTGAAATTTGCCCTCGCTTTATCTCCATCCAGGCCAAAGTAGAGAAAAAAACAGAGGCAGCTACAACGGGAAAGCCTGAACCTAATGCAACCACTAAAACAGCGGGCTCCATTGCAAGTACACAGAAACCACCTGCCGGGAAAGTGAGTTTTATTTAGACTTAACCTCTGGGAGATCAAGTGGTACCATTCTCTCCTAGACTGAGTCATTTTCCCTTCTAGTCTACTCTGTTCCCCCTGCTCCTTCCTCTGATTGATGACTCAGCTGTCAGTTTTTATATCAGCCCTGAAAACTAACCGAGTTTTGAGCTCATTACCCCACTAGGAACTATGTACTTGGCTAGAAAAAAAAAGAAAAAAAGGAACTTTAAAACTGCCCTTCCTTGACATTTGAAACTCAACCTGATATGCATACAAATCTATCACACATAGATTTTTCCTTATGAGACATGACAGTGTCAGTCTATCATTGGAGGGAGGCATGGTGGCAGGAGTACAAGATTCGTACTTACCTATGTAGTAGCTAACAGCCATCCTTAACTCCAGTTCCAGGGGATCTGACCCTCTTCTGACCTCTGAGGGCATTGCATGACATGGGTGTGCTTACATACATGCAGGCAAAACATACACATAAAATAAAAATAAATCTCTCTCAAATTGCTTATTGTCCCCCTGAAATTGCTCGTTGAAAAGAACACTTGGACCCCCTCCCTTTCTTAGGAGATCCCCACCCCCTCCCAACAAATCTACATTTGCTGTGCCTCCAAATCTACATTTGCTGTGCCTCCAAAGCCTGAGAAACTGATAGCATTGATTTACTCTGTGGAAATGAACTTGAGTTGCTGAGGAAGTTTAACAGGTTGAAAGAAATTTTCTCTCAACCTAGCTCTGATGATTGAACCTAGGACCTCAGCAAGACTCTTTTTTATTTTGAGACAGAGTCTTACTGAGTTGTTCAGGCTGGCCTCGGACTTGCTCTGTAGCCTAGGCAGACCTCAAATTGTGGTCCTCCTGCCTTAGCTTCCCAAATAGCTGGAATTATGTAACTGCATCACCAGGCCTAGCTTTTAAATTTTCTCTTTTTTTAAAAATCAATTATTTAGGTAACGTTAGTTATGTTCACTGCAGTGTATGAAACATCACAATATCATACTGGAAAAGCACTATCAGTACAGGGTTGGATCAGAATGGACAGGTTAAACAATAAACAATAAGCCGTTTTGCCATTTTGTATTCTACATTCCCCATCTTTTAATTACCCACCCCTCCAGAAGCCCAGTAAAGGGACAAGTAGCGTTTAAAACCACATGCAAAGCCCTTTAACTTGTAAGACTAAAACTGAAGAATAAATAAAATATATCATGGCAATAATTCCTTTTAGACCAAAAACCAGGTGCAAAATAAGTCAAGTTGATCAGGAAAGCTGTCTGTTTTCAAATGTGGCTCCTCAGAAACAGCTTCAGGAAAAATGATACAGAAAAATATCATGAATTCCATTTCATACAGTACCAGATGACAACTTATTTAACTCTACACAAGGGCAATTACAACTACTGGAACACAATTAAAACATAGGAAAATGTTTACAAAGCATCCACAACATGTAAACCATGTACAAATGGATATATTCATTACTCTTGTTACTCTTCCTACTCCAGTAACAACTTTTCTTTTTTTTTTTTTTTTTTTTTTTTTTTTTTTTTTGTTTTTGAGACAAGGTCTTGTAGCCCCAGCTGTCCTGGAACTCACTATGTAGACTGTAGACCAGGCTGGCCTTGAACTCAAAAAGATCCGCCTGCCTCTGCCTCTGCCTCTGCCTCCCAAGTGCTGGGATTAAAGGTGTTGCGCCACCATGCCCCGTGTAACTTCTTTTCAATAAATATTTTGCTCTTCATGTTCAGCATTGAGTTTAATACATGCAAATCTCAAAATAATCCAAGAACTGTAAAAATAGAATTAAATTAAATAATTTTCAAATACCTTATGTGACAGCCACTCTCTACCTTGCCTAGTGTTACAAAATGAAAGGTTACTGAACCCATGAAAAATCTCTGTAATTTTTCTTAGACCTAAAATAAATGATTTTAAATGTATTTATAGTATCTCAATGTGAGTCTGAGCTTTTAAAACAACATAAACAGCTAAGAATAATGCCCAATTACATAAAACTTATATCTTAAAAGCAGAAAAATTAAAACTATAGACACCTACATTTAAAGCCAAAGAAAAGAATTTACATTCTAACGGCAAATCTCATCATTTAAAAGAATTTGAAGCCGTGATATGACAAAGCAAAATTATAAATAGCCATAAATTAATTCATTTGGTTTCAAAAGATTTTCTAGTAAGAGTTGAAGGATGTGGAGGCTGGAGAGATAGCTCAGCAGTTAAGAACACTGGTTGTTCTTGCAGAAGACCCGGGTTTGAATCCCAGCAGCCACATGACAGCTAACAACTGTCCGTAACTCCAGTTCCAGGGGATCCAACAGCCTCTTCTGTCCTCCATGAGCATTGCATGGCACGGGTACACTTACCTACATGCAGGCAATACACATGTACACATAAAATGAAAATAAAGAAAAGTTGGAGGATGTAGTAGACACATGCACAAAATTTGTAAGGGTTTACAGTATTACTGCCAAGCACTGATCTTGAACTAAGACAGCATTACAAATTTGGACATTATTGGAGCACCCAGTTTGGTAATACAGGTAGGATTGAAGAAAAAAATTAAATAATAATAAATAGATATCCTGTAGTAAGTTGCTTAAATGAAATTTCAAGCCATGGAACTACAAAAGGTTTTCAACCTAAATTTTATTTTCTATCTATGAGTATTTTATGTACTAAAAGAATAAAAATTGATACCCCAAGTAAAAAGTGTCTCTTGGTGGAGACTGTGATTGTTCAGTGTAGAGAAACAGAAAAATAAGACTTCGAAGAATAAAATGTTAATTTTTGCTGTTTGGGCTAGGTGGAAGTTTAGCAGATGCTATAAGTGAAAACTACAGAATCATGAGTTACTTTACAGAAGTGGAGCTGAAGGATCTCCTTTTGCAAGTTGGCCGAGGCTTGAGATACATTCATTCAATGTCTTTGGTTCACATGGATATAAAACCTAGTAAGTATTACAAGTCAGTCCTTTATCTGTGTTCTCTGGGCTGGGCTTAGAGTATAAATTGCTTAATTGTAACAATATAAAAATTGCTTTTTTCCTACTGTTTTAAAAGGTCTTTGATCATTTACTAATAATATTTCTGGTTTCCGTTTCTTTCTTTGTAACCCCAAATTTGTGAGATAATCATTAAAAGGAAATTTTTTATTTGCTCCATTTTATATAGGAACTATGTGGTTTAAAAGTGGGCCTCTGATGGGAAGATTGAGAACCGTGTTTAAGGCCTCATACTTTAGATAGACATAAAAAAATTCCCCCAATTGGTCTTAGTTTTGACAGTTGATCTGGTTATATTTATTTTTATTTTTCAGATTTTACCTTTCCCCTAATTTTTAAAAATAATAGACATCGTATAAAATACCATTCTGGATTTGACTGGCTGCTTCCTTGTATTTCTAGCTTCTTTTCCTATACTTACTATAAATTGGAAGTTATAAGTAAGGGTTAATCATGTGTGTTGTGAGTTGTGAGTTTATGTGCACCACATTTGTGCAGGAGCCCTTGAAGCTTACAAGAGCCATTAGATCCCCTGGAACTGGTGTGAACCGCCATGTGGGTGCTGGGAACTGAACCTGGGTCTTCTGCAAGAGCAGTAGCACTTTTAACTACTCAGCCATATCTCCAGCCTTATCAAGGTGCTTTTAAATTGAATTTTACAGGTTAAAGTTTTTTTTAAGGAAACGTGGATTTAAGGGAATATAAATCATTTTACACAACTTAATTCTGAGTTACAAAAATTTTTTCTACCTCACTAGAGTTTGTTTCAAAAGGAAAAAAATGTTTAGACTAATGTCATGGCCCTAGTTCCATTGTTGTAACGAAACATTTGCCCTAGTTAATTCTATTGTGATGAAACACTGACTGAAAAACAAGTTGGTGAGGAAAAAATTTCATCTTACTCTTCCAAGTGACAGTCCATCACTTAGGGAAGTCTGGACAGGAGCTGAAGCAGAGACCATGAGGGGAACACTGCTTACTGGCTTGCTTCTCCTGGCTTGCTCAGCTTCCCCCCCCCCCCCCCCCAAGGAGCTGAGGACCAAATCCAGGGCCTTGTGCTTGCTAAATCCCCAATCCCTTCAGCTACTTTTCTTATACTGCCCAGGTATGACACTGCCCACAGTAACTGGACTTCCCCCCACCCCAATCAATTAAAAATTAAGAAAATGCTTCAGACATGGCCACAGGCCAATCCAATGAATGAAATATCTCAGTAGTTGAGTTGAGGTTCCCTCTTCCAAGGTGGTTGTACTTGTGTCAAACTGAAAAACTAATCATAGATAAATAGAGTAATAAATCCTTGTATTCCAAGGTCCAAAGGTTGAAATACTAAGAGATATAAAGTTTAGTTTTTCCTATAGTACTGAGGATTGAAACTATTCAAATTTACAGATATCACCATAAAATAAGTTGTCTTATAAAGTGAAACTGGAGATGAATTTAGTAATTATGACATAAAAATCCATTATTACATGAAGTTATTAAAATGAAATCTGCCAGGCTTGGAGATGGTTCAGTGGGTAAAGTACATGCTGTGAAATCATAAGGACCAGAGTTTAGATCCCTGGCGTCTAGGTAAAAGATGGATGAATGCAGCAGCATGCATCTATAACCCCAGCTCTGGGGTCAGGGGGCAGGGGGACATGACAGGTTAATCCTGAGTACTAGCTGGCTAGCAGAATCGGCAAGTTCCGGGTTCAGTGAGAGACCGTGTCTCATAAAGTAAGGTGGAAACGATAGAGGAAGACACCCAGTATTAACCTCTGTCCTGTGTTCTGAAAGCACGTGTGTGTGCATGCACACAAATATAAACCTGCCACTGAAAATTATGAGGACTCGTATTTGAAGAAAAAGTGTAGGAACTGAGGAACCATGAAACAGTGTTGGGAGGTTGGCACTGCATGCTGATTACTTGCTCTGTGAGAGCAAATCAGCCTTGTCTACATAGCAAGTTTCAGGCCAGCCAGGTTTATAGAGAGACCCTGTCTCAAAAAAGAAAACAAAATAAAATGTGTATGTATATTCCCTTGTCTGAAACTGTTATTCTCACTGGAATTGAGATAGAATGTGAGAATCTGCATTTTTAAGGCTTTCTGGATGATTTTTTAGATCTTGGGGGAATCAGTTCTCTCCTTTTACAATATGGGTTCTGGGGACTGAACTTGTATCATTAGGTTTGTCAGAAAGTACCTTTACCCGCTGAGCCATCTCATCAGCCTTTTAGATGATTTTTATATTTGACTTTGTTTATAAAATATACTTATAATGTTTAACAGGTAATATTTTCATATCACGAACCTCAATTCCTAATGCTGCCTCTGAAGAAGGAGATGAAGATGACTGGATATCCAACAAAGTTATGTTCAAAATAGGTGAGAAAGATAAGTAATATGTTAACATTAGGAGAGGGTGTGTGGGGGGGGGCGGGGTAGAGTGGAGTGCATGTGGTACTGCCACAGTGCGCATGGTGAAGGTCAGAGAACAGCCTTGGATGTTGGTCCTTGCCTTCCACATTGTTGGAAATAGGGTCTCTTGTTCACTGCTGTGTACTCCAGGCTTCTGAGATTCTCCTGTCTCTACCTCCCATCTCAAGGTATCAGTGTTGGGATTTCAGACATGAACTGCTGGGTCTGACATTTACCTGGGTTCTGGGAATCTGAACTCTGGTCCTCATGCTTGTATGGCAAGCACTTTATCCACTGAACCATCTCCTCAGTCCTCTAATGTTTCTGTGTGTGTGTCTGTATGCCACATGTGTGCAGGTGCCCTTGGAATTCAGAAGAGCATATCAGATCCCTGGAGCTGGAGTTAAAGGCAGTTGTGAGCTATCCAGCATTGGTGCTGGGAACCAAACTTGGATCGAAGAGCAAAAAGCTCTTCTGACCTCTGAGCTATCTCTCCAGCCTCTCTTTATTCCTTTTTGAGACAGTCTCCTACTAACACAGGATAGCCTGGGACTCAATTTTATAATCCAGTCTGGCCTCATACTGGAGTAGTCCTCCTGCCTTAGCCTCCCAAGTGCTGGGATTACAGGCATGAGCCACTATAACCACATTGACTTTTCTTTTTTTTCAAGACAGGGTCTCAGCTGGGCATGGTGGCGCATGCGTTTAATCCCAGTACTCAGGAATCAGAGGCAGGCAGGTCCTGTCTTGAGAAGAGCCAAAAAAAAAAAAAAAATAGGGTCTCACAGCTTGGCTTTGAACTGGCTATGTGGCTAAGGTAGTTGAGGATGTCCTTTAACTTCTGATCTTCCGGACTCTAACCCCGAGGGCTGGGATTATAGGCCTGTCACTGTGTCTGGTTTATATGGTGATGGCTCTCAACCCAGGGCTTTGTGCATGCCTACCAACTGAGTCACTGTTCTTTTTCCAATACTTTCAGGTGATCTTGGGCATGTAACAAGGATCTCTAGCCCACAAGTTGAAGAAGGTGATAGTCGCTTTCTAGCAAATGAAGTTTTACAAGAGGTAATTTTTCTCCTTTGATTATATTATTTGCTTTGTACTAATCATTTGATAGAATTTTGAATTCAAATATGTTGAAAAATGAATGACTATTAGAATGGAAATAGAAGTCCAAACTGTCACCCAGGGGCTTCAGTCTAGCAAAAGCCAGTGAAGGTGAAGGTCCATGGTGGCATGGGGAGCAGTGTTCCCACCCACAACTAGTGGAACCTCAAAGTGATTTAGCCTTCGAGATCAAGATATGTCACTATATCAATATTTAAAAGTCATTTCCCCTTGACCCATAGTTTTCCGTTTTAGGAGTTTTTCTATAGAAATATTCATATACAAATAAATTGAGAGCAATGTGAATAAGTTATATTTACTAAGAAAATGACAAGTAAGTTATGATGGACTATGTCTCATAAAGGGCAGTTATGTAGTCTCATTGCTCTTACATCCATGCACATTGTCTGCTTCATTAAATGTGTATTTGTAACGTGTCAGTGCTTTTCTGCAGAATATTGTTTGCATTTGACTCCCTAGGGGATGAGAGTGCTACTTCTGAACAGTTAATTGGGCTACTGATTAAAAAGCTTTTATTTTTAGTTATGTATTTAAATCCCTCCAGTACATTATTTGTGATTTTAAAAAATAACAAATGTGCCGGGTATGGTGACATATGCCTTTAATCCCAGCACTCAGAAGGCAGAGGCAGGTGGATCTCTGTGAGTTCAAGGCCAGCCTGCTCTACATAGTGAGTTCCAGGACAGCTGGGGCTACAGGGAGACCTTGTCTCAAAAAGACCAAAAAATAATAATAATAACAACAAATTCTCCTAAATTTAGCAGTTTTCTGAATATATCCTTAAATGTGGCATTGAGTGTTTTTAATATGATTTCTTAAATCATGATATGTAATCTTTTATTTTGACTATTGCCTTCAAATTCTTTCTCTTAAATTTAACAGAATTATAGCCATCTACCGAAAGCAGATATTTTCGCTCTTGCCCTCACAGTGGTATGTGCTGCAGGCGCCGATCCTCTTCCTAGAAACGGAGACCAGTGGCATGAAATCAGGCAGGGTCGGTTACCTCGGATTCCACAAGTGCTTTCCCAGGAGTTTACAGAGCTGCTGAAAGTGAGCATTTTATGTGTGAGGCACTTTTTTATTGACACTCCAAATTTTTATTCAGTTGTATGTCTTCATGGAAACTTTGCCTTGCTTCTCAGCTTATGATTCATCCTGATCCAGAGAGGAGGCCTTCAGCAATGGCGCTGGTGAAGCATTCCGTGTTGCTGTCTGCATCCAGAAAGAGCGCAGAGCAGCTTCGGATAGAACTCAATGCTGAAAAGTTCAAAAACTCACTTTTGCAGAAGTAAGGAGTTTTTGTTTTGTTTTTACTGTCTTTCTCATGAAGTCTTAGTTTCTGAGAGATCATTTAGACTTTTTTCTTTTTCTTTTTTTTTTTTAGAATTTTTTTTTTTTCCATTTTAGCTGTGATGTTACGCCTGCACATATGTAAGTGCACCCATGTCGTGCAGTGTCCACAGAGGACCAAAGAGGGAGTCAGATCCCCTGGAACTGTAGTTATAGACAGTTGTCAGCTGCCATGTGGATGCTGGGACTCTAACCTGGGTCTTCTGCAAGAGAACCAGTGCTCTTAACCACTGAGCCATCTTTTCAGCCCCTTTTAGACTTTTTTCACAAAAGAATTTAGCAGTTTAATACATTGGTTTTTTTGGTGTGGGGTTTTTGTTTGTTTGGGGTTTTTTTGGTCTTTTTTGAGACAGGGTCTCCCTGTAGCCCCAGCTGACTTGGAACTTACTGTGTAGACCAGGCTGGCCTTGAACTCTCAGAGACCCACCAGCCTCTGCTTCCTGAGTGCTGGAATTCAAGGCGTGCACTACCACTCCTGGCTACATTGTTATAAAATGAAAATTTGGGACTTCTGCCTTAAATTCGTTTTTGAACTGTTAAATTTGTGCTGTCACTAAACATATATTATGTACTTTAAGAATATTAAGAGGGCCTGGGTGTGAGATTGAGGCCAGCCTGATGTACAGAGTTCCAGGTTAGCTGGGGCTACAAGGAGACCCTGTCTCCACCAAACCTCTCAGCCCCCCTCCCCCAACAAAGTAAAAGGGTTGAGGGCTACCTCAGTGGTAGTGTTTTGCCTAACCAGGACAAGGCCCTGGATTCATCCCCAGCAGGAAGCAACAGGGTGGGACATAAGGGAAAAAAGTAAAGAGAAGGCTCTGTGGTGGAGTACTTTCCTAGCATATGTGATGCCTTAGGTTCAAAATCTTTAGTGCCACACACACAATAAAAGACCATTCTCAAGACTCCCTAGGGTCTAGTAAAAGCTAAATGAGCATTTCCCCAGAGTCTCACCAAAATTAGTGTTTTCTTTATAGCATTTTCTTCTGCCTATTTTATTTATAAAAGGGTAAAATTAAAGTTAGTTATGTTGGTAAATGATTCACTTTTTTAAAAAATTTTATTGTTTTTATTTTATGTGTATGCATGTATTGCCTGCATGTAGGTAAGTGCACCCATGTTGTGCAGTGCCTGTGGAGGTCAGAAGAGGTTGTCTGATACCCTGGGACCGGAGTTATGGACAGTTGTTAGCTGTGTGTGGGTGCTGGGATTCGAACCTGGGTCTTCTGCAAGAATGACCAGTGTTCTTAACAGCTGAGCCATCTCTCTAGCCCCATGATTCTTTTTTAAAAAAAACTTAATTTTTTATTTTTTATTATTGGGGGGGATATGCCATGTTGCATGTGTGGAGGTCAGAGGACAACTTTGAGGAGTCAGTTCTCTCCCTTCACCTCTATCTAAGCTTCTTCATCTAACTCAGTTTCTTAGGCTTGCATGGCAAGCACCTTGTCCTCTAAACCATCTCACCTGCCTGATAAATGATCTTATGTTTGACTCTGAGGGACTTGGCAGGTTCAGAAAGCTGGTTGCCAAGATAAAGTTGATCAGAAAAAACAAAAACAAATCTTACCGAGTATTAGTAATCGTGGGTTATACTTACTTATGTATTTATTAATTGTGTGTGCGTTGTATGCATGTGTGTGCACATCCATTCATGGGTATCAGAAACCAAAGGTTGGTGTGGGTGTCTTCCTCCATTTCTCTCCACATTAACCACCCTTCCACCCCCCACCCCCAATTTTTGAGATAGGCTTGCTCACTGAACCTAGATCTTGCTGATTCAGGTAGACTGGCTGGCTGTGAAGCCCCCGGGATCCTCTTCTCCTCACCTCCTAGCACTTGGATTACAGACATGTGCTACCATGCCCAGCATTTTTTTTTTGGTCTTTTTGAGACAGGGTCTCCCTGTAGCCCCAGCTATCCTGGATTCACTATGGAGACCAGGCTGGCCTTGAACTCACAGAGATCCACCTGTCTCTGCTGGGATTAAAGGCCTGTGCCACCACGCCCGGCCATGCCCAGCTTTTTATGTTAGTACAGCAAGCACTTTTTGCCCATTGAGCCATCTCCCCAGCCCTAATTTACTTACTGAGGTTTTCTTTTGTTTGTTTTATGTGTCTGAGTGTTTGCCTGTATGTATTTATGTTTGTGTGACTGGTACAGGCACTGGATCTCTTGGAACTGGACTTATAGGCAGTTGTGAGCTGCCATGTGGGTGCTAGGAGCTGAACCTGTGTCCTCTGCAAGAACAGCCAGTGTTGTTAACCACTGAGCCATCTTTCCTGCCCCTAGTTCTGTTTTGTTTTTAATTAATTTATTTATTTTTGTAATTTTATTTTTATTTTACACGTATGAGTGTATTGCCTGCATGTATGTGAGTGCATCCATGTGGTGCAATGCTGTGGAGGTCAGAAGAGGGCGGATTCCCCTGGAACTGGACTTAAGGACAGTTCTTTGCCATCATGTGGATGCTGGGAATTGAACCCAGGTCCTCTGCAAGAGCAGTCAGTGCTCTTAACCACTGAACCATCTCTGTAGACCCTATTTTTGGGGTTTTTTTTTTTGAGACAGAGTCTTACTACGTAGCCCTGGCTGGCCTGGAATTCACTATATGAACCAGGGTGGCCTCAAACTTAAAGAGAACCTCCTGCCTCTGCCTCTTGAGTGTTGAGATTAAAGACGTGCAGCAACATGCTTAGCAAATATGTATGTTTATTGGTAGTATTAGGAAACGGACCTAGGGCCTCATACATGGGAAGCAAGTGTTCTACCATTGAGTTACAGCTTCAGCCCTTGCTATTTTTAAAAAAAATACTTGTGTGTGTGTACAGTGGGGGTTCGTGGTGTGGTACACGTGCTATACTGCATATATGGAATATATGGAGATCAAAAGCCTCTCCTTCCACCATGTAGATTCTAGGGATCAAACTCTGGTCCTCAGGCTTGGTGCCAGGTACCCTTAACCAATTAGCAATCTCACCAGCCCCAGATGTAGCACACCCATAGCATGCCCTCTTCCACCACCGCCGCCAAATGCTTTGCCACTGAACTATACCCACAGCTTTTTTGGTTTTTGAGACAGGATCTGGTAATCTTGTATGGTAACAGGCTGGTCTTGAGCTCATAATCCCCTTGCCTTCACACATCCTGCTGTACCCCCATCCCATCCTCAGTGTTAGGATTATACGCATGTGTCACCATGCTCAACATCTTTCTTTTTTCTTTAAAAATATTATTTTTATTTTTACAAATGTTTTAGTTTTCTTTTTTTAATATTTTACTATTATTTTATGTGTATGAGTGTATTGCCTGCATGTGTGTAAGTGCACCCATGTTGTGCAGTGCCTGTGGAGGTCCGAATTGGGCATTGGATTCCCCTGGAACTGGAGTTAACAGACAGTTGTTATCCACCACGTGGGTGCTGGGAATCAAACCGCAGTCCTCTGCAAGAGTAGCCAGTGCCCTTAACCACTGAGCCATCTCTCCAGTCCTGTGTCTTTATTTTATATATGTGTGTTTTGTTTGCATTCATGTACACGCATCACGTTCACAACTGGTAACCGTGGAGACCAGAAGAGGCCTTGGAATTGTAGATGGTTGTGAGCAACCATGTGAATGCTAGAAATAAAACCTGGATCCTCTGCTTCAGCCCCCAACTTTTTTCCTTGTTTCTTTTTCTTTTCTTTCATTCCTTTTTTTAAATCTTTTTGAGACAGGGTCTCCCTGTAGCACAAGCTGGCCTGGACCTCACTATGTAGACCAGGCTGGCCTCAAATCTCACAGATCCAATTGCTTCTGCCTCCAGAGTGCTAGGATTAAAGGTGTGAGCTACCATGCCTGGATTAGCTAGTTTCTTTTTTGAGTCTCATGTAGCCCCAGGTGACCTTGAGGTCACCATACAGCAGAGGATGACCTTGAACATAAGCAGAGAACACATAATAAAAGTGACTTGGAGAGATGACTCAGTCATTAAGAGCACTGGCTGTTCTTGCTGAAAGCCTGGGTTCGGTTCCCAACACCCACAAAGTGGATTACAACTGTCCAAAACTCTAGTTCTAGGGGATCTAACACCCTCTTCTGGCCTCTTCAGGCATTGCACGACATGGGTGCTCTTACATACATGCAGCCAAAACACATAATGAAAAATAGATTTAAAAAAATTTTTTAAGTGGTTTGAAAAGGTTTTATGTTAAATATTAAGATTTGCTACTTAAATTATAGAAATTATACTAAATATTAAATGGTTCCTGTGTTACTATTTGCTGTCAGTCATGGCATGTACAAGTAGCAAGTAAAGTTTTCTTTTTGTCTGTGATAATTGTGATTTAAAATTGTTTGAGATCCACAGTTATTGTTAATCTTTATTGTATTAATTTTTGTATTAAAGTGAGTGGTGTTTTAATTCTAAAAACAGATCGTTTCATGAATTTTAAGTTAGTTTCATGTCCTATTTCTTGTCTCAGTTCCATCTTAGAATAATGAAAGCATGTGAATATTTCCCAGTTGGTAATTAAGTTTGTATTTAGCCTCGTAGAATTGATAGAATAGGCAAATGAAATAATCTTGCTTCCTTTTTTATTTTTGTAGAGAACTCAAGAAAGCCCAGATGGCAAAAGCTGCAGCTGAGGAGCGAGCGCTCCTCACGGATCGGATGGCCACTAGGTCCACCACCCAGAGTAATAGAACCTCTCGACTTATTGGGAAGAAAATGAACCGCTCTGTCAGCCTTACTATATACTGAACTACTCACCTCCTCACTCCCCCAATAAACTGTGACAGGAAGAAGCTAGGTTGAAATTACTCCTAGAATCTACTTTGCAATTACTTTTTCTGGTATCAGTAATTTTACTGAAATACCTTTTAGGACCTTGTGAATTACAGTTAAGAGCTGTATTTTGACTGTTGGCTGTATCAGGCTTTTGTCTACTCTTACCCTGTTTCCTGTAGGATGTCAGTCACTGTTGGATGTTACCCCAGCCTTTGCAGGGTTAACCCCTGTGGTGGTGTGCTGCTTATCATTCACTGTTGCATTGTAACAAAAGGTGTCTTTCCTTGTAGTGACCTGTAGAAAGGGACTCAAGGGCTTTATTATAGGCATACTCTCCTTTCAAAAAGGGAAACGCTAAGAGACTCAGTACTACTCAGCCTCTGATGTACCTGTGTCAATCTTGTATTTCTTTTTTCCTATTGTGAATTATACTTGTATATCCAACTGGGAGCACTTTGTAGGCATTGCATGAACCATGGGATAATAATTCTGTGGAAGTATTGCCTTGTGAATTTGCTGCTATTTTAGTTTTGTCTTGCTGTAAAATTGTAGCATTAAACAATCATTGTTGTTAATAGGCTTTCTTTGAAACAATTATGTGAAACATGGCTGCTCTTGATGAAAAGCAGCTGTTTGCCTTTTTTTCTTTGAACTTTGAAGCTAGTGCATTGAACAAATGCACCCCTCCCCCTTCCCGTTTGAATGCTGTATTAATGTAGTATAATTATTACTGGTTTTGTAATTTTTCTTTATAATGTCCTCTGACTTTTTAAAGCTGTCTCCTTCCTCCTCAAGTTTTTACTTGGTTGTATGGTTAGTCTATTTTTAAATGTCTTGCCTGGTTTCTCTTCAATACTTGTGTATATAAACTGATCTTGGAAATACTGTAAATAGCTGTGTTTGAAATGCCAGAATGACTTCTGACTATTCCAAGTTTTCCACAAAATATATTTTATCTGTGATTAGCCATTTGACTAATAGATATTCCCCACCCCC